AGAAATCGCTCCATATGTGGTTATATGACCCAAAAAAAAAAAAACAAAGTTTGAGCCGGCACGGAACAGTCCATCTGGTATGTTATACATGCAGTATGCCGGGTACGAGGGAGGAATTAGCTTCGTAATCCATACGGAGAGTAGCCGAGTGAAACGCGTAAAAATGTCCCAGGTCTAGATTTATCTATTATAGCAATGCAAACTCCCAGTCATCCATAATAGCATTGTTATCTGTGTGTAAGTAAACAGATGCAGCATGCATACAGGATCTAAGAGATCGGATGTAGTGTGGTTGTTCCGCGCAAAGTCCGGAAGTCTTCCTTAGTTCCCCCCGTTCCAAGGTTGGCAGAAGGCAAGCGTGACCTATGACAGTGCATGCATATCCCGTACATGCCGTAGGATTTAGACCAAAGTTTGACCTGGGCATCTAAGAATCCCATTGAAGGGTTCCTCGGGACAGCACACCATCGGTGGGTCTCCGGGATGCAGGAGGATGCTGACACTCGTGGAAGGCTTGGGGCATTAGCGTTATCTACAATGGTCTTGTTTTGCTAACTTCTTATATTCTCATTACTTCTTGGGACTATTGAATTAGAAAGGGTGTGTTTATCTGTGTACCACGTATCGAATCCACAACTGAGTGGATAGGGGTCGAGGTTTAGCATCAGATATAGTGGTTAGGCCCTATGTTATAATATGTACAGCACATACGGGCTTTCTCAGTAAATAGTGGAGCCCATAGTATTCTCTTTTTTCTTTGTGCTTTTTGTTCTCCCTAAATTTCAATATCGAAAAGTTTTAGGGTGCCATCCGCCATTTAAACCTAAGTGCCACGAGACCCATTGGACCTGTCAATTATGGGTGGGATTAACTGGCGCATACAGCGGCGCCGAAGACGTGCACCTGGGACTCAGGGGCACAAGAGAGAGGAGAAAAGGGGAAAGCGGAAAAAGAAAAAGAAAAAGAAAAAGAAAACAATACAAATCTATGACTAAAATCTCTATATGCAACGAGGTGATCAAGCGCTGATAATAAAGATACAACACAGAGTCAATGCAACCGGATTGGTGAGGAAAGTGGAATAATTAGATAATCTTTGCATGCTACTGTCTGATAAGAACTTCGAGAAAGATGGAAGAACTCATCTTTTATCCATCTGTCTGTCGTAGGAAAAAAAAAAAAAAAAGGTGATATGATTCCGGAGTGATTACAGTTTAAGCGGATAAGGCCGCGAACCGCATTCTTGGGAAAGCCGCCTGAGCAACAAGGCGCCGATACATCCTGTGGGTGGAACTGGTGCTAATTCATGCAACCTGCGTATACTCCGGAGTACGCTCACATACTCAGTGCTCACACCACCTCCGTCTCCATCGCCCCCCCATTCCTCGTTCTCTTTTGCTTCATATTGTTCCGTTTTTGTTTCCAACAGACCAAGGTTCAGTAATCTATAACTAGACCAAACAAACAACTCCCAGAAAAACCACGGCACCAGGCGGAAACTAATTCCGGGGCTCTCTCTCTTTCGCAGATGGCGGATACGAAAAAGATGACCCAAGTATCGACTCCACTTCCCGCAATAGTGGTAAAGAAAAAAAAAAATAAAAATAAAAATAAAAGAAAAAAGAAATAAAACCAAGAAGCTGGTGCGCATGATATTACTAACGTTCTCTAAGCATCTGCCGCGCGGTGTATCTTCTATCTACGCTAATTAATATAGCAATCTCCCTATCGATGAAAGGATACGATAGCGTGTGTATGGCACGACAGACCATGTGGTCTGGAAAGAGCATGATGACCCGCAACAATCCCATCCGCGATACCTGTCAATCCAGACCACGCATATCCTCACTCCGGCCCACACGATCTACCATCGCCCGTTGTTAACTATTTCATCTACTGACACTAATAAACTGAGTTCCCCTTTAGGATGCTCGGGAACCCGCTATTTGTGTCGTTAATCATTCCCCAAGTCGTCCATAGGAACACCGCCTTTCTCCGTGGGGTTTCGGCCTCCAATGAAGGCCCGCAGCTTGTAACACTAACGCTCTGCATCCACGCGAAACCGAAATGTATGATGTTGGTCGTTTAGGTGGCTGTAGGTGGGCACTGAGACTATGCCACTAACTGAAGGAAACAACACTCCGTAACCCTTAAAGTACAGTCTGTGGCGCTCAAAATTACGATTTCTGACTTTTGGCCAATGGTGTGTCTCCATCATACAGATCGCCAAAGTATTTCCCAAACTCACTGCAGGTGATTTGCTGGTCGACTGCAGAAGATGGAGCTCACTGATCCTTACCGACATTGTTCACTTTCGGAAGTCTTTTTATTGGTAAGTTTCTCTTAGTCTTATTTTTATTTATTTTTCTAATTATTATTCCCCCCCCCCCCCCCAATGTCTGCCTTTTTTGTTTAATCAGTTGCCTATTGTATGCTGTATGCTTCTCCTGTAGCTGCAGGGAACCATTTGATTTCTTCATCGGTCTGTCACTCGCCCTCGAAATCATAGGAGTACCAAGCCCTCTCTGCTTTTTTCCCCTTTCCCTTTACTCTTTCTTTCTTGTTTCGGAAAGGGGCGGTAACAGCTGTTGGGGTTGATTCAGTAGTGAAAAAAAGACTGCCACTGGCCACTGGCGGTGAGAGGCAATACGGTTGGTTTGCTCCCTGTGACAAAGCGATCTCGATACTTTCTTTGAGTCAATCTGTGTTTTATATGTAGTGTTGCTGTATGAGACATGCAGCATCAGCTTGTTCACTTGACAACACGCATGCCCCCCCCCCCCCCCCCCCCCCCCCCCCCACACTCGTTGTCTATCCTTGACCATTACTCGCACTTCTCCTCACACAGACATATATACATATACCCTTACCCGTAACCCCCAAACTTTTCTGGCAGAGTGCTTGATGCGGTATGACTAGGAGTTTAGTTGCTGCTCATTATGCATAGTTTCGGGCTGTGTCGTATAATTTGCAGATCGCTACGTTTGCAAGTCGACATTGATTCATTCCCTTCGATGTTCAACGCAAAGGATTTGCCCTTCCCTGAGTAAGAAAACTTGGTATGGACGGTAAGGTAGCTTTAACAGTCCGTACTAACCATCTTTAATCGGAGCACCAGTATGTTGGAACGTGTATCTGTTCTGGATTCCTCGAACCTTTGTTACCGGAAAAGAGGAGTGGGATTTGAACAAGGTATCACCTTACGAACCTTGTTGAACTGCCTACATTGTGATTGATGCCCAATGACGTAGCCGAGACACATAGATCAGGTTCCGCTCTAACACGACTCCAATGCATAACCAAGACGGAATGGACAAGCGGAATCCCCTCGTGGGCCACTCAAAAGAGAAGTCGATGACAAGCACACTCTGTTGATGATTCATCTGATTCGAGGGGCCGATGTACCACCGAGACCAATACTTTCTGTACTGGAGATGAACAACTGGAAACAAGAGCTCTGCTAAGTCTCCAGCGGCATAGCTGCCTTGCTGCCTTGCTTCCGGGGAAAAGATCCAGCTATGACCTGCGAGAGGGCAACTGTCAGGACCAAGAGATGAGGGAAGGTGGGGGCAAACAATAAGGAGAAGGGCAACGGCGATCAGCAGAGGTCTTAAAAGTCAATTAGTGCAACTTAGACTATCAATCACGACTTGCCAAAGTTTGGGGCCAAAGTGAAGCACACTGCATGCACAACATTGTGATTCGAATTAGTTGTTGATCCAAAATGGGAGACCATCGTCTCCGCCCCATTTTTCGGCTCTAGGCTCTTCGGGGACCTTTGTTTGGTTGCTTTACTCGCAGTGACTTGCCTCACGACGTCAAAACTTAATCGTTTTGGGTGGGCAGATAGAAGCACAGGCCAGATGAGACTGCCCAGAGCCATGGACGGCCAGCCAGTCACTAGAAGCTTATGAGCGGCAGCCGGAGGTGAAGCTACCGGTATTCTTTGTATTATGAAATCATCTTGATCATCGGTTGAACTATAACACGAGTCAGTCACACGTCAGGCATCCCTCTTAACAGGATTGGGTCATTAGTACTACCTGATATAACCCGTCCCGAGGCAAAGTAGAAGCACCGAGGAAATTTAGAATTGTAAGAGAAGTTATCTTTCTCTCAAGGCCAAATGCCAAATGCGAGCGGTAACTGCCGGAGCCGTGTGGATTTCGGGGAATCTTTGGAGAAAGTGACAGAGCAGTGAGACGTTAGCTCTGTGGCAGAGTGTTCCAAGACACTGGTAAGACCGTCATTTTAGGACAAGACGAAGCTGAAAACCCATTCCTTGGCCTCTCTTTTTTTTTTTTTTT